GGGTGCAGTGGTGGGTACGATAATCACAGCCAGTTATGAATCTTAGTGCACCATGATAGACAGCATCCAACATCTGCAGGGTTCTTGTAGGAGCGTTCATGTAAATAATGTCACCATAATCAATGGAGGGAAGGAAAGTCACAGATACAAGACGTTTCCTAGCATTCAGAGTTAGACAGGATCTGTTATATCAGAACAAATATAAAAAAAACAGGAAGCAATAGTTGGAATACGGACCCAGCATTTTTCCTGAAACCACATAGTTGTAGAGCCGTGGGAACATGCTTTGGGCTCGGAGCACATTTCTGTTGAAACGTTGGAGATTTATATAATAATCCGTCTCCTTCATGTCCTCCTTCTCGTCCATGTTTTAACCTTTTTCTGTCTTTTCTCCACCTCACCCTGCAGCAGAAAGACCCGGTGGACTTCTCCTTCAACCCACTGGCTGACCCCCGTTTTGTGTTTTACGACCACTCGCTGGTGGAGGCGGTGAAGCTGGAGAACCCAGAGGTCCACGCCTTCTTCAGGCTGCTGGCGCTCTGCCACACCGTCATGGCCGAGGAGAAGAAAGAAGGTGAGGATTGATTTTTATTTTCATGTGTGGGACTCAAACATCCCATATTTAAGTAACCAAATCTATTTGTCAAAATCTGAGTTAAGATTCAGCAAGTTTTGTTGTTTTTATGAAGAAATGATAGCTCAGAGAAAACTCCAGCTCTTGTGTTGGTGGTTGTTCTCCGTCAGGTGAGCTTCTCTACCAGGCCCAGTCGCCCGATGAAGGAGCTCTGGTGACAGCCGCCAGAAACTTTGGATTTGTCTTCCGCTCGCGAACACCGGACAGCATTTCCATCGTGGAAATGGGAAAGCAGCGCAGCTACGAACTCTTGGCCATCCTGGATTTTAACAACGTCCGCAAGAGGATGTCCGTCATTGGTAAGAACAAAGAGTCTGAGTGAGATCGTACAGATGGTTCTGCTTTAGTGTTGGTTTTTATAAAAAGCGTCCTGTGTGTTTGTTATCTGGAGCTTGTGTTTAAAATGAACCCCAGACGTATGATCGTGCTTGTGTTTGTGTAAACAGTTCGGAGCCCAGAGGGGAAACTGTCTCTGTACTGTAAAGGAGCGGACACGATCGTCTACGAGAGGCTCCATCAGTCCTGCAGCAAACTGATGGAAGCCACAACGGAACATCTGAACGTCAGTCACACTTGGATCTGTTCGGTCCAGACACAAACACAGAAGATGCTTTTGGATTAAAAATGCATGTCGCCCGCCGCCTGTCATGCCAGAGTTTTAGACTAAGATCATACGTAGAGAAGCCATTTTGGTCAAACCTTGAAAATAACATTACAGCTGCATCTAAAAAAAAAAATTAGAATATGGTGAAAATGTTCTATTTTCTTTGTTGATAGTTGCAGAAAGTGAAACTCAAACTACCGTAGTCCCTGGCTGCTTCGCGGTTCGTTTATCATGGACTCGCTCTATCGCGGTTTTTCAAAATAAGATTGGACCTGACACACAATTGGCTGGTTGTTGGATGCACGATCGGCATGGAATTTTTATTTAAAATAAATTATTTTTAATTATTTAGCACCTGCTGCGCCTTTGTGCAGCCCATGCTGCAGGATAAGCTTCCTCCTGCAGCTGATCAGCTGTTCTCCGTGCAGAGCATAGAAGTGGGCGTGGCCAAGAGCGCTTGCAGGTGTCTGAGAGCAGCGGAGGCAGGGAGCTGAAATCATGACACTCTGTCTCTTTTAGAGTTTTAGAGTTTAGAAACATTGTTTAGAATATTACAAGTGTGGGAAGGGTTTAAAACAAATAGTTTACTACTTGTACTACTATTCTTTCTTTATGAGTTTTCACTTATTGCGGAGCTTCAGGGGACGGATCCCCTGCGATAAATGAGGGACTACGCTATATAGATTTATTACACATAGAGTGAAATACTTCAAGCCTTTATTTCTTGTTATCTTGATGATTATTGCTTCCAAATAATGAAGCACCAAAACTCTGCGTCAGTGTTATTCAGCGGTGGGTGATAATATAACGAACAGGACAAAAACGATTGATTTATTACAAAGTTGTACACACATTTATTGTGTTCAGAGTCGCTATTTTTTATTTAATTTGAACTCAAAGCGAACTATTTATGATGAGAAAACAGCATAATGTGCAGAAAATACCTGGTAAATCCAGGCAGTTTGTTATGGTTTTAGGACAAACAGAGGATTCTTCTCTTTCCTCTCTTCCTTTAATGTCGGCTCTCTCCGTTTGTGTTTTTATTAAAAGATAAAAACAGAATTATTTCTGTTTAACTTGTCACTAGTTTTATTTCTCAGAGCTCATAATTTACACAGCTGGGCACACGAGTTTTATTTTGTTTATATCTCTAAATACCATCAGGTGTGTGTGTGGTGTTCATCCATATAAGTATGTGCATGCTGTTCTGCAGGAATTTGCAGGCGAGGGCCTCCGGACTCTGGCTCTGGCCTACAAGGATTTGGACGAAGCGTTTTATAGTGAATGGAAGCAGCGCCACCACGAGGCGAGCACCGAGCTGGACGACAGGGAGGCCAAGCTGGACAAGCTGTACGAGGAGATAGAGACGGATCTGCTGGTAGGAAACCAAAGAAGAGCAAACTCTGAGTGAAGCTCAGAAAATTAAAAAAATATAACTTGAGTTTTATTTGTTTTGTGTGTGCAGCTGCTCGGAGCTACAGCCATAGAGGACAAGCTACAGGATGGAGTTCCTCAGACCATCGAGCAGCTGTCCAAAGCTGACATCAAAGTCTGGGTTTTGACTGGTGACAAACAAGGTATTTATCTGGTTTTCCATAAATTACAGTTTATATTACTTTTTAAATCAAGGATTTAAACACAAAATCAAGTAATATTAGAATAAATTTTGAAAAATGTCAATAGTTTGGAGAATGACTGGTGAAAATCCTAGATTTAATGTTGGTAGACCTCTGATGTGGACCCAGAACTTACCCAGGCTTCGCTTTAGACTGGTTCCGGTATAGGTTTTAAGTTTTAATTATCTGTAATTAGTTATTTTATGCTTGCAAGCATTGAACACCCTGACTGTGTGTGGGGGGAGTAGGCCAGACTTAAAGCTCCACATTTCTAACATGCAGACTCTGGGTTCATAAATACAACATGGCAGCCTCCATCATGTTGTGGCTTCAACTGCCAGCAACAAACAAACGTGAAGAGTTTTAGTTCATGTAAAGGACAAAATCTGCTGCGAGGAGGGGCTGAAATCTGGAGGTAAAACCTCAAAGGACTGAGGTCCGTGTCCTTTAAAGGCAAGTCCATGACTCAAACTTGTGAGAAATTTTCAGTTGCAGTCAATAAATTCTGAGTGTTTGTGACCAGAGAGCCATTCAGATGCATTTTATTTGGCCACTTTGTAAAAATCACAGCCTATTTTTGTGTGCACAGCTTGCAAAGCTCTATTCTTGGTCCTGCACATTATTTTACTGCCCACAACGTACCCACCTCGGCTTGTTTTGTACCCACCTCAGCAGCTGCCCCCTCATTTATTTTCTAATCTACTGGGGTACGTGTTAGAAACGGACCAGTTAGTAATTTTGGGACCCACTTTTTAATATTAGTTATTTATCAGGGCAGTGCTTTTTAGAGCCAGACATGTTTTTGCGCTCTTCGAGAGGACTGTGGAGACTTTGTGACTATTTTGAGGGAAAATTCAGGTGCAAGACGTTCAAAATTCATGCAGGAAGACTGTGCACCATCATGTGAGAAATGAAGAACCACTAATATTTTGAGGCATTTTGAAGTCTTTCTCTCAAATCTGATTTAATGACAGTCAAACTAGTCCTGGGAGGATCTGGAAAACCTCTTCAATGAGTTGAATCACTTTAGTACCATTTCAATGTGAAATGTAATATATAGTAAAACACTGTTTCACAACGTTGAGTTTTTGAAGTTTTGTAACAAAATAAATCTGCTTTAGATCTCAGTAAAAGTTATTTAAAGTTACATGAAGTAGGAGATTACTGAACTTCCTTTTAAGTGTTTTTATTTCATATTTGCAATAAATCGTAGTTCCCTCATTAAACTTTTATGAATCAGAAAATCCTTAAAAATCTCCAAATGAGGCCATTATTCTTATGTTGCTCTTATTTTTATAAAATAGTCTGACAAAGGAAAAAGTGTTTTTGCCTGTGGTTGTTGTCGACTAACTGTTGTTTGTTTGTTTGTGTCGCAGAAACTGCAGAAAACATTGGTTACTCGTGCAACTTACTGCGCGAAGAGATGAACGAGGTTTTCATCATCTCGGGAAGCTCGTCTGATGACGTCAGACAAGAGCTCAGGTCAGAGGAAACTTATTTAACCATTTTTAATGAAGCGTTTCCATGCATCCATTTACGATTGAGTTTTTTTGTTTGGAGCAGAAACGCGCAGACCTCCATGAAACCGAATGCAGCAGAGAACTCTGAGATTTTATCAGAAGAGACGAGCGAAGGAGTGAAACTGATGAAAGATGAGGCGATTAACGGAGAGTACGGCCTCGTGATCAACGGACACAGTCTGGTACGACAAACTAAAATAAGCAAAAGATTATAAGAATTTAGAAACACGAGGTGGTCAAACTCATAGTTGTAACTCTTGGATAATTTCTGCCTTTTAACCACCGTTATGTCCACCAGGCGTTCGCCTTGGAGCGCAGCATGGAGCTGGACTTCCTCAGGACGGCCTGTATGTGTAAATCGGTGATCTGCTGCAGGGTGACCCCTCTGCAGAAGGCTCAGGTGGTTGAACTGGTCAAGAAATACAAGCAGGCCGTCACACTGGCCATAGGTGATGGAGCAAATGACGTCAGCATGATCAAAGGTACCAAATTCAATAAGTATCACAGCTTTGTGTGAGGCTTTTTGTCAGCTGAAGAAAACTGTTTCCAGAAAACAAAGAGCTTCACATTTTGGAGATCTTATACGCCCATCGCAGGCGTGACGTTTTATATATTTATTTTTATTTATTTATGTGTTACATAGTACATAGGCGTCGCAACAACTATATGTGAAGGGGGCGTGTTCCCCTCACATTTAAAAAATACTCATATGAACCCCCCCCCCCCACATTTACCTTGAAATAGTTCACCCAGCTCTGTTTCTATTTCTTTGTGAACGAATCCATTCCACTTGATTAACAGGAGAATACTCAAACCACTAAAAGTCCACTCCAGGTTTTCCAGGTTACCTACAACAGCTCACCACACCGCATGCAGTGTTTCCCCGAGGTCACGTGGCTTGGCAGGGCGCTCATCTCTTTGGAGGTTTTGTAGAAGGGGCGGGGATAGGAGGGGGAGACACCGCTGTGTTGCGCGCTAGCTTAGCGCTACGTTAATGTGAGCAGTTGTTGACTGGGAGGCAGGGGTGTTTTAGGATGTGTGAGATAAGCGGAGCATGCTCTGTTCACACAAGGAGAGCTGTTGGTCAGGCTACTTCTTGTTGTGACATTTACTCTAAAATTGTTATTGAATCAAGTGTTACTTGTTCAAGGTCACAAATCAAGGTCAAAATGTATACCAGGTCTTTGCTTGTTTGAGCCATTGCTATAGTTTGCTGTATAGCTGTATAAAAGTTTGTTGACGGGTGTATAATGTGCCGTATGCTGTACTTTAGTTTGTTCCTGATGACTCTAATAGTCTCATTTGACTTTTGCCTCTTGGTTTTATTTTTATTGTTAGATCAAATTTAAACCATGCACTAAATTCTAAAGTGTAATTGTAAGAGTTCATGAAGTGGGAAAAGACCAAAAACTTTAAATGGACATAAACCCAACAAACATTACTCTGTCTGCTGCTTAAATATAACAAATCAATCGCTCCATGTCTGAACGGAACATGTTTTTGGTGAATTGCTCAACACCTGACAGAGTTTTAAACATTTTGTGCTTTTCATGATCAAACAGCTGTGGCGGTGCTCTTGAATCAGGTTGCCTGATCAGCCGTAAATTTACACCCAAAGATTTATTTCTGAGTTTCATTCAAATCCATCAAGTTGGTTTAGAAGATGTTTTGCTAACGGACAAACAAAGTCACCCACAATCACCCCCTCCTTTCACCCTTAGGTGATAACAAGTCCTCACCTTCAAATCTCTGTGTTCTGTCTTCCCCCAGCGGCGCATATAGGTGTGGGCATCTCGGGTCAGGAGGGCATGCAGGCGGTCCTGTCCAGCGACTACTCCTTCGCCCAGTTCCGCTTCCTGCAGCGCCTCCTGTTGGTGCACGGCCGCTGGTCCTACATGCGCATGTGCAAGTTCCTGCGCTACTTCTTCTACAAGAACTTCACCTTCACCTTCGTCCACTTCTGGTTCGCCTTCTTCTGTGGCTTCTCTGCACAGGTGAGACTGAAGAAGGGAAAGAGACACTAAAATACGTGTTTTGTTCAGTTTCATGATAAAAAACAAATCCTCTTTCTGTAAAATGACAGTTAAGGATAACAACAGTGGATGTTACTAATAATTTTAGCATTTTTCCCTGTTAAATAAAAAAAGTGTTTTATTGTTTAGTATACTGAACACAAATATAAACGCAACACTTTTGTTTTCGCTCCCATTGTTCATGAGCTGAACTCAAAGATCTAAGACTTTTTCTGTGTACACAGTCGGCCTTTTTCTTTTAAATGTGTGTAAATCTGTGTTAGTGAGCACTTCTTCTTTGCCCAGATAACCCATCCACCTCACAGGTTTGGCATATCAACATGCTGGTTAGACAAAATAATTATTGCACAGGTGTGCCTTAGGCTGACCACAATAAAAGGCCACACTAAAATGTGCAGTTTTATCACGGCACAGTGACACAGACGTCACAAGTTTTGAGGGAACGTGCAGTTGGCATGCTGACTGCAGGAGCTGTTGCCCATAAAGTGAATGTTTATTTCTCTACCATAAGCCATCTTCAAAGACGTTACAGATGGCAGAACATCCAACCGGCTACAGTAACCACAACAGCTCAGGACCTCCACATCCAGCATCCTCACCTCCAAGATGGTCTGAGACCAGTCACCAGACAGCTGCTGCAGCAATTGGTTTGCATAACCGAATAATTTCAGAACCAACTGTCAGAAACCCTCTCAAGGAAGCTAATCTTCACGCTCGTACTCACCAGGGTCTCCACCTGACTCCCATTTCGTCGTCGTAACCGACTTGAGTGGGTAAACGCTCACATTCGACGCTGTATGGCACGTTGGAGAGGTGTTCACGGATGAAACCTGGTTTGATGGTTTCAGGTGGAGCTGTGTGAGCGTTGTGCTGATGTCAAAGTTGTGAATCGAGTGGCCCACGGTGGCGATGTGGTTATGGTAAATGGACTGTACTTATATAGCACCTTTCTATCTGATCAAGACACTCAAAGTGCTTTACAACACAAGCTGTCCTCATTTACCCATTCATACAGCGCTCTACTACATTGCTACAAAGCTAGTTGAACAAATCCTTCTAAAGAGACTAATCAGGGCTTTATCACATTCATACAATTATGGGACACATCAGAGGCAATGAGAGGTTCAGTGTCTTGCCCAGGGACACTTCTGAATGTGACTGCTAGTGGATTCAAACCCCCAACTCTTGCATTGGAGGATGACTGCTCTAACCACTCAGCCACAGCTGCCCCTATAGTACGGGCGGGCGTATGTTATGGTCAACAAAACACAGGTGCATTTTATTGATGGCATTTTGACTGCACAGAGATACCGTGACGAGATCCTGAGGCCCATTGTTGTGCCATTCAGCCACAACCATCACCTCATGTTGCAGCAGGATAATGCACGGTCCCATGTTGGAAGGATCTGTGCACAATTCCTGGAAGATGAAAACATCCCAGCATACTCACTGGATATGTCACCCATTGAACATGTTTGGGATGCTCTGGACCGATGTATACAACAGTCTGTTCCAGTTCCTGACAATAGGCAGCGTCTCCACACAACCATTGAACAGGAGTGGACCAACATCCCACCATCAACAACCTGATCAACTCTATATGATGTGTTGCACTGCGTGAGGCAGATGGTGATCACACCAGATACCAGATACTGACTGGTTTTCTGACACCCCCCTCCCCACAGAACCCCCAATACAGTAAAAGTAAACTGCACATTTTAGTGTGGCCTTTTATTGTGGTCAGCCTAAGGCACACCTGTGCAATAATCATGCTGTCTAATGAGCATCTTGATACGCTACACCTGTGAGGAGGCTGGATTATCTCGGCAAAGGAGAAGCGCTCACTATGAAGATTTACACAAATTTGTGAACACTATTTGAGAAAAATGCAGTTTGTGTAAACATAAAACGTCTTAAATCGTTGAGTTCAGCTCATTTAAAATGGGCGCAAAAACAAAAGTGTTGCGTTTATATTTGTGTTCGGTGCATCTTGAAATGGATTTGTCTTTGGTGTGTGTGTTTTTGTTTCAGACGGTGTATGACGAGTGGTTCATCACGCTCTACAATCTGATGTACACAGCACTTCCTGTGCTGGGAATGAGTTTGTTCGATCAGGTAATGTACTGTACCAAAAACCAAGGTCAATATTGAAGTTTATGGCTGTGTCTGTTTTTGTTTTTCTAAAGACTTTTTATCGTTCTTTTATTTTACAAATATCGAGTTTAATAAAATATGGAAAAAAACTTACTCACTTAAAGTTTGACTTCAGTTAGCAAGGGCGTTCCCAAATTAGGAGCATAATTGCTTTAATTTTGACCTGTACTTTTAGTTTTAGCTGCCACTTTGTTTCTTTCCATTTTAACTACAAGTCTGCTTTTAGCTTTTTGCACAGTTTTGCTGACATTATCTTTAGCTTCTGTTTTGTTGCTTTTAGATACTGTTTTGTTCATTTTAGCTTCGGCAAATATTTTTCACTGATTTAAGCTTTTTTTTTTCAGTTTTACTACTTTTAGTTACTGTTTTACTAAACATACTTTTAGCGTAAGGTAACCAGATTTCTGACATTAAATCTGGGGACATTTCCAGCTCAGAGACAAAAAAGAATAAAATGTTATCGAGATTAAATTAAAAACGGGGACAGTTACGATTCCATTTATTTTTACATTTTTATTCGCGTTCAAACAATATAAATCAAATGTAGCAGCATTCATGAAATGCTAAAATCGGAGACATTTCCGTGGACAGCTTTAGCCGGGGACAGGTCGTCCAAAACGGGGACTGTCCCCATAAATCGGGGACATCTGGTCACCCTACTTTAGTGAGTGTTTTGCCAATTTTAGAGTCTGCTTTATTCATTTTATCTTTAGCAGGATTTGCTCATTTTAGCTACTGCCCTGCTCATCTGCTGTCCAGATGACCTGACTGAAAATTGTTGGATTGTATACCTGGATTATTGAGCATGGACTTTTGTGGGACTGCCCTGCTGCTTTTAATTAGTTTACTGCTCTTAGCTATTTGCTACTTTTAGCCTTTAGCTTGTGCTCTGCTCATTCCAGCCTGCTCTGCTCATTTTAGCTTCAGTTCTGAAGGTTTTAGCTTTACCAACTGTGTCAGCTTCTTCGTAATGTTTTAGTTTTCCACACAGTGAATGTTTCTCTTCGTCTCCCCCTCCCGGTCAGGATGTGAACGATGTGTGGAGTTTCCAGCATCCGCAGCTCTACGTTCCGGGTCAGCTGAATCTTTACTTCAGTAAGAAGGCCTTCTTCAAATGTGCCATTCACAGCTGCTACAGCTCCCTGGTGCTCTTCTTCATCCCCTACGCTGCTCTGCACGACACAGTGAGGGATGATGGGAAGGACGTGGCTGACTACCAGTCCTTCGCCCTCCTCACACAGACATGTCTGCTGTTTGCAGTGAGCATCCAGGTATACCTCTTTTATTTTAAAGTTTAAAATATCTAATGTGCAAAAGGATTTTAACAAGTATGCTGTGTTTTGTCTGTCTCTGTGCAGCTGGGGTTGGAGATGTCTTACTGGACGGCGGTGAACACCTTCTTCGTGTTGGGCAGTTTGGTCATGTATTTTGCCGTCACGTTCACCATGTACAGTAACGGCTTGTTCCTCCTTTTGCCGTCAGCGTTTCCTTTTATAGGTGAGTGTCAGACTTTATAACCCAACATCTGAACGTGCTGCTCAATGCATTAATGTCAGAGACAGCATCTGAATTCTGACTGGTACCTTTAGCAACATATGAGACCAATCAAACCTGATTTTTAATGATCTCTGGAGTCTGTTTTTGTAGTTTAATTGAGACTGAATAGTTTGGAGTAAATAAAACTAACTTGTCAACCACAAAGTGTAGATAAAAGAATCAGGTACAAAGCGTGAGAATTTTTATTTATTTTTTTTAAGTGGAGATTATCTGAAATAATATCCACATCTTAATTTTATACCTTTGTAATCCAGATAGTGGGATGTTTAAAATATGTAGTTGAACTCAGAATTAATTAAAAAAATACTTTTTGTAGGAATGTTTGTCACCCGCTGCCTTGAATACCAAATTTTAACTAAAGATCACCTGAAATATGAAATAATGATGACTCTCAGCTACTACCACACCAAATTTTAGCTCAATATCTTTAAAACTGACAGAGTTACATCCATTTGTAGGGCTAGCTAATGTCAATTAGCTGTGGCGACCATATTGAAGTGGCAATCAGTTGTAGACAAACATCCAGTGATTACCATCTGAGGGTTTCATTAAATTTGTCCACTGATTTATGAGATATTTTGCCAACAAACAAATACACACCATCATGATAATTTCATGATCGTCTGCCACCATGAAGAGCAGAATTTTATATTATTGTCACAAAAGGCTGGTGCTAGTGAACCCAGTGGTGCAGGCAAGCAGGCGAAGACTCAGGATGATTATATAAAATAAATAATTTATTAACACAAAAGAGCTGACAGGGCAGCAAAACAAACATAGAATGATCAGGGGTACAATACAGACAGGTCACCACCGGTAAACAATGCCAGGACAAGGAGTGAGTTATAGCAAACTCTAATTAAACAAAGTTAAGACACCTGTGAGTAATCACAGATGCCAAAGACAGACTGAGGATGCAAGACATAAACATGACACAAGATGGAGCTAGATACTAAAGAAACACAAACCCTATGAAGATAGAAACTGAGGATCAGGGGGACACAGACATAAACATGACACCAGATGGAGCTAGACACCAGGGACAAAAAAAACCACAACTACAATTCTAAATTATTAAAAATGGATTCCGGTGCCGTAGCACTTTAAAATCTGACTCAAATAAAATGCTCTTCTTCTGAGCAAAGAGACTCCTGCAAGATTAAACAAGTTATTTTTTCTAATAAAATTAAGTGTTTAATTTTTATTTTATTGCTTCAGTTGTTTTTTAGGACAGTAAACGTTGAGTGATTTTGTGAACGATGCAATTTTCCCTATCATGATATCTCCAGAATACATTTGACTTCCATGTCAGGATAAAAGCTGGATCTTTTTTGTTTTCTTCTCACGCTGCAGAGCTCATACTCTGACCCGAACAATAATTGGAGCTTGTGTGCATTCTGCAGTTACACTTTAGGTTCGGTAACAAGGAGCGCGGTCTATAAAAACTCCTAACGGCTGTTTTTGTTGATCCAGGATCAGCTCTGAACTCTCTGAGCCAGCCCAATGTTTGGCTGACCATCGTCCTCACCTCCACCCTGTGCATCCTTCCTGTGGTGACCTACCGCTTCTTGTTGATTCAGCTTTGCCCCACCATCAATGACAAGGTACAGAGCCCGGGGGGGTGGGGAGCGCATTACTGAATCATAGCTGCACCGGTGGAACTGATGTTCTAAAAAAAAAATCACCATTAACATGAACTCTAGGTGATATTGTTACTTCTAGCGTCCGTTTCTGTTAAATCTAAATATTAGAAAGTGTCCTCTTGTTAGTCTGATTTCTGCTGAATCTTCAGTGACTTGTCTCCTCAAACCTCCAGGTGATGTTTAAGGTGAGACAGGCCAAAGCAACTCTTCCCCCTCCTGCTCGCCGGGCTAAGATCCGCCGCAGCAGCACCCGCCGCTCAGGCTACGCCTTCTCACACGCGCAGGGCTACGGGGATCTGGTGACTTCGGGTCGGTTCCTGCGGCGTCCTGCCATATCGCGATCTTCAGGCTTCCCCCAAGTGGGTCGGACCACCACGGGGTTCAGTCCCATGGGACGATCAGCGGGTTACAGCCCGACGGGACGTCCTCAGAACTTAAAGGTCCCGGACGTGGAGGTGACGTCCCTGCAGATGTACAGGACAATCACAGAGCCGCCCCTCTGACACGCAGCATGAAGCGTGTTGGAGCAACGTCAGGCGGTTCCTGCTTCTTCTCCAAAAAGACAAAAGTTCTTGGACCTTTCAGGAAGAAGTTTTATCTGCTCGAACCCTCCAAGTGCAGCAGAATGTGTCTCCGTCTCTGAAAGCTGCACACATCGCTGCCTGTTGATGTAAAACACCGTGCGCTCAGCCGCAGCGGAGCTCCTCCTGAACAAAGCTTTCAGACGGAAACAACCGGAGACTAAAACGGAGTTCCTGAGGTGAAAACGACAACGTGAGGTTATGTTTACAGACCGCCCGGCCTCTGGTGACGCTGGGGGTCCAGATGCACAGCAGGAACACACCCTGCAAATATTTTACTCTTTTTTGCCTTAAAATACCTTTTTAAAAGGTTTGTGGGTGGCCTGTGTCAGAGACACAAACTTTTTATTTTTACAGTGCTGGAAACAAAGTTTTTGGAAAACAATTTAGCTTTAATAAAAACTTAAAAACTGTTTTAAACTAAAGAATTGATTTAGTTTTGGAAATCTTAAGAAAATCTGTATTGCTTTATTTTTCTCCTGCTTTGAAATTACTTTCAACTTTAAATTAAACTATTGGAAGTATTAATATATTTAAATTATACAAAATTGGACGTATAACTGCAATTAAACTTTGCATTGTAGCAATTTATACAGAGTTTTTATTAATTTGAGTATTAAATATAAATCACTTTTTGTTTTCCAAATCAAAGGGAAAGCCATAAATAAGTAGAAAATCTGGTACAAAGGTCAGTAAAATGCTCTTTTATTGTCTAATTTCCTCTGTTATATTTATATTTCACTATTTTTTTTAACTGTTTATGAACCAATGTGTATCTTATTTAAATTTTAAAATTATAATCTGAAAATTAAATTTGAGAAATGATGCAAGTTTAAAAAGAAGCCATGAAATATGTATGAAAGTGAATGGTTGTGTTTCAGACTATTCAAATAAATCAAAAATATAATTCCAGATGTACAAAACAGAAGAGCAAAAATGGAGTGAAAAATAAATTAAATCACAAACTTTTGGATTATTTTAGAAAATTATATACAGTATACATACACACACACACATATATAATATATATA